CTGAATAAAAGTTTATGTCTATTCATTTATTATAAATAAATCTTTTAGTATAACCATTTTCACTACTTCTGATTAAAGAGTTTGAGGCTTTGTTGTATCCTAAAGGCATAATTGCCTTTAAAAAAATGTTTTTCATACTTCAAAGTTGAAATTCTTTTCTATTATTTTTCTTCTCTTATTTATTTTTTCTAACAATGATATGGATCATTGTGGTTGTACTTGAAAATTTAAGTTTATTTCCTTGTTTTTAGTGTGATTTATGTGTATAGTTAATGAATAAAAGTAGTTCATAACCAAATAGTAGAGTTCAGAATTGAATATGGCTTAGGAAAACTATTGTGTTAGTAGAACTAGCTGAGACATATAGATCAGGTATCATGGCATTCTGTGGAAAACAAAAAAATTGACACACAATAATCTTAAGTTTTGTTATGCTTTTTAATGTTATTCATGAAAATAAAGTGCATTGTCAGGCTAAGGTTACGCTCGGTGGTTCAAAAACAACTATAATATTCTAACCAAGTGGCAATTGCTGGCGGTTATTGCTGGGCCAACCTACCTAAGGAATTGTTAAGGGAAGTTTTGTTGAGGATTGAAGATTCTGAAAATAGTTGGCTTGAAAAAATGAATATGGTAGCTTGTGTTGGTGTTTGTAAGAGTTGACATCTTATCATTAAATAGATGGTTAAAGTTCTTGAGCTTTCAGAAAAATTAACTTTTCTCATCTCACTAAAACATGTTTTTTATTTTTTGGTCTCCATGTATTCTTATATGAAAATCTTGCTTATTTGTGAACAAAAATTGTTCTTTAATTTGTTTTCTTCTTTATAGGTATGATTGTAGCTAGAAGTTGAATTATTGTAGTTGAATTACAATCCTCTATTTGGAAACAGGGTCATGTGATTTTGTTAAATTTTCATTAAAAACTTGCAAAGGTGTTCTACTGGTCAAGTTTTATCTAATGAAGTTTTTTCTTTAGAATTTCAAAGTAATGATAATTTTGATTGTACTTATGTCTTCTGCATTCTGCAATTTCTAACATTTTTCTTTATAACGAATACCTTGATCTGAAGTAACTTTAAATTTACATGCTTTTTTTTTTATTTCAAAAGCTCAAACAAGCATCTATGTTACAAGGATGTGACATTCAAAACGATGCAGTAGTTCTAAACTCTAGAGAAAAAATAACTATTTCAAAAGTGGGACTACTTGCTACGATGTATGTTACAATGTTAAAGATACTATATTGTTCACTATTTTTGGTTTTGATGACTTTGCATAATCTGAATGGCTTATTTACAAGTGCAATCTACATCAACAATTGTTGTACTTTCTACTAGACATGAACTTTTAGAGCCAACAATAAAGCTTTCAGCTTCTCAATACTAATTTACACAAAGCCAACTATTAAGTCATGACCAAGTATCATGGGACTATCTTAGTAGTTCAATGTTCAAAGTGTGGATTATTGTTTCAAAGCTTTCAACTCTCAATACTAAATTTACATAAGGTTAAATTCTCATAAGGATTTAGGGAATATTAACTGCATATATCACTCTAATTTTTAACTCAAACAAATATTAATTCAATAAAATATTTAAAATTTTTATAATAGACAAGACGATACCAAATCCCCATCACTAGTCAAATATAAAAAAATTGATCTGAATCAAACTTTATAATTTAAAATCAATTTTTAATTTTCTTTTTTTTTTTCTCACTTCTATTAACTAAAGGACACATAGAGGTGACGGCCCCCCTCGCAAAAAAATTTTACACCCTTATTTTACGGTACTCGGGCTAGCTAATGTAATACTTGGCCCCCTTCTCTAATGATTTTACTATTTGACCCCTTAATCCGTAACTTTGGCTTCGATTCGGTGACCACATAACATGTCCACATCATAAGTTTGTTCATAATAATTTCTTTAATGAAAACCCGTCACATATGCATGTATCTAAACTCTTTTATTTCTTTAAGATAGTTATATGCTACAATGATAGAACAGTCATAGATATACTTTTTCTTTTGTTTATTTAATAAATTTTTTATTTAAAGTGACAAATACAAAAGAAAGAAATAAGACAATAATGCTGATTAAGATAAGGAAACACCTAAAAAAGGATGTAATCGAGTTGAAGGAGACATTTTCCTTTACCGTTCAGCATCATATATTATAACATAGCATTTTTTAAAGTACATATCTGATAATCAAGCTTTTATCTTAGCTTTGATTTCTCCATTCCTCTCTTTAATATACACTGATCACATCAAATTTCATTTTTATATTATTTTCTATAAAAAAAATTGTAATTTGGAAATATAAGAAGAGATTATAAATTTTAAGATTTAAATTTTAATATTATGTTTGGCATATAAAATAATGAATATGATAGGATGATAATTAACTTATACCATGTTTAATTTATATTTAAACAGAGAGATATGGATTGTAAGGAAGAATAATATCATTTTTGGCATAGAATTATTCAATTCTCCTTAAGTAGAGAATATTATTTTTAATTTATGAGATTAAACTTACATATTTAAATATATTCTTAAAAATTATATTAATAATTTAAATTATATAAATTTTGAGGAAGGATAATTTTGATAAATAAATAAACTATACTCTTTTAATCCTTGTAAACATCAAATACAAAATAAGATAATATTATTTAATTTAATCATATTTATAATATCATTTTATCTTATCCTATCACGATCTTGTACACTAAACATAACCTAAATATATTAGATATCATTGTTTTTTAAATTAACTGTATAAATCACTGAACAAGCATTAGATTTTTTTATGATTTTTGAGAAAACATTATGAAAGCAAAATTCGTTTTTGTTGCTAATTACTTTTTTGACTATGATTTAGGGAAGGGAAGACATGGTAAAAAAAAATCATAAAAAGAGTAAAGAATCTCTTTAAATAATATAATAATGGACATCATTTTTTGGCTATAACCTCCATACCATATGAATCAGCAATAAATTTTGTTTCTCTAAAGCCAGAAAGGAGAAAATCATTATTTAGAGATTAGTTAAAAAACAAAAAAAAAAAACATGATTTAAAATTTTAATAAAAAATATTTATAAATTTATTACAATTAAAAAAGTATATTTTATATTTTTATATTAATATAAATTATGATACATAATTTTATTATAAAATATAATTCATATATATAAATTATTAATACTTTATATAACACAAATATAATAACTGCTTTGATACACATACCCAACACTAAGACTAAGCATTCTTCTCGTATGACATCGAGTCGATGGTTTGACTTTTATGAAGATATATATTTTTATGTTAGTATATTTTAATATTTTTTAATACAATAATTTTTCTTTAATCTAAGTGAATCATTGATCTTTTAGATAATTTTATAAGATTTTTTATGTAAAAAATCCACAATACTGTAACATCGGTAAAACATTGTGACTTATGTCACTGTAAAAACAACCTTTTATTGTTCCTACAAGGCTAGGCACCAGTAGCTTCCCACTGTTACAGATAACGACAGTTTTATACATATCTATAGAACTGCAGGGAACTGGGAAATTATTAATGGGAATTATGTAGTAAGGGAGGTCAATAAATTTAGAGTGTGACGTTTACTATCTGTACATGGAAAAATCAGGCTTGTGAATTGAAGCAAGTTGCAACAGGCTTGAAAACATCTTTTTTTTTAATCCTTTTTAATGCCAAATATATACCAAGAACTTTCCTAATTTGCTGATAAAATCCAGACGCCTTTGCTGTTAACCTGTAGACTTCCTAAATTACTTTGAAATCAAAGTAAATTAAAAGTGATCAACAAATAGTTGGTTCAATTGATTAAGTTTATTTTTTTTTATGAAAAAATTTTAAATTTGAGTTTTATTAGTGGTCATTTGTTAGAGTTATCTAAAATATACGACTTACAATTATTTATTTTACGCTGTCAAGTATGACACATTTTGCTTTAACATGTGAGACTGAACAGCTTAATTACTTCAAGATTTTCCCAAACAAAAAAAAAAAAGTAAATTAAAAGTTATAATATTCTTATGAAGACGTTAACTTAGTCAATGATGATAAAATGAAAATTGTTTTCATCATTAATTTTAATCTTATAATTATATTAATTAATTTTACTATCACTATTATTTTTAATTTTATCGGTTAGACCTTAAGTATTTAGAAGATCCTATATTGGACGGCTGGAAACTAGAACACAATTAATCTTCTCTTGGTAATTGCCATCAGTACTGCTAATTAAGGAAGGAAAATTTGAGAGTAGATATATTAGAGAAGAAATGGAATTCATGAGGAAAGTGGGAACCTGGTAATGATTTCAACATGATATTTAGAGCATCAGAATAATTGTATCTGTTAATTATAGCATAAAGTAGAAAAAATATATTAATATATAAAATCCTGTTACTTTATAATTAAGCTGCATAAAACAGTAGCAGTCCAGTAGCAGTTGGTGGCTTGTAAGAACTGTTGACGATTGGCCAAGGTGGGTGCAGATTTATGTATAAAATATGGAAGATTAATGGCTTTAAGAGTATATATATAGTACCCTCTATAAAACTATTGTTGAGGAAACAAACAGGCATAAATAATTAATTGATGGGCATTTTTCAATTCTCCCAGGGAAGGTTGCAAATCAAGGTGCAGCACCGAATTCAGATCACAATTTGCTTTCTGGGTTTGACTTCCCATCCAAGCTGCTTAGACTCAAGCACCAAGGAGCTTGGAAACCTTGTCCGAAGCCGCTGCACTCTAATCTTCATGAAGAAATCATTACTCAATTTTTGTTGATGACATAAGTTTAGAGGCTTAATTACACATATATAGAAACTTTGAATAATAGATAGCAAGAACAGCTGCATCAAAATATTATTTTCGCAAAGTAATAAGACACTGACAATAATATTTTCCCGACATTTCTGATAAAGTAATGTACTTTTAGTTTAAGTGATCAGATTATAACTCAATACAAAAAAAAAAAAAAAAAAACTAACATTTCATCAGGATAATGGCATATCATAAAAATACCATGATATGACACATAGTCCCTTACCAGGAATTTCATAACTAGAAAACCCTAGAGCTAGCCAACTGGGACTTCCCACCTAATAATTTAGCACATAGAAAATGAAAGTACAGGCTACATTGATTTTTGCTTATTGATTATTTAATTATATGGTGCAACCTCACATCACATGCTTCCACTTCCTGATCTCTCATTGTCTCCACCAGGGTCATTGTTATTCCACTGAGAGGGATAGTAAAACCCAGAATTTTGATTAAGAAAATTGCTTCCTCCGGTACTACCATGACCAGCTGCTGTTCTTCTTCCATACTGGGATATTGCTGCTGTTTCTGGCATTTCATTGCGGGCATAGCGGATTAAATCAGCATTGGTAGCATCCAATTCCCTTTGGAGTCTCATCACCTGTCTTTGGAGGACTGAAATGGCTCCAACACAGCCATAAACAGGATCTTTCATCCTTGCCTCAGCTTCATAAGCAAGGGAGTTCACTGCATCTTCCCTTTGATGAGGTGGAATCTCATTAAGCAGTTTGCTAACATTGCTTGCACCAAATATTTTGTGAACATTGGCAAATTTTTGTGGCTCTTCAGGTGGAAAATATGGTGCATAAATACAATCTGGCATGCATTTTCTCCTCAAGAACTTGCAGGCAGCACAGGGAGAATTGGAATAGCTGGAAGAAGCCATCTTCTCTGCACCAAAAAATTGCATGCATCAGACATCATAATTTGTCAACCATAATTTTTTTTTCTTTAATAAAATTCCGTTCAAATGTGAGGTTATATGGTTGATAAAGTAAAAGTATATCTTTTATTTTCTTCAGTAAGATGGAAGTTGATTGACTTTGTTAAACTGGAAAAAATCGCCTTTGTTCTGAATTCAATCTATCAAGACTTCTCGGAGAAACAACTAGGTTAAGGACCAAAAAGATTTCATGAGAAATTGCTTAAGGAAAACACTCGATTCCATCTTCCTTTTCAAACAACTTTTGCCTTTTCTGACCAGCCAAGCAGCTTTCCTTGAATTTAAATACTACTGTCAGAACATGTCATCTTACAAAAAAAAAACCCAAAAGTCAAAAACAAACCAAGAAAAAATAAAAATAAAATTGAGAGGAAACAAAAACATGTATCATTACATTAACATGCACAAATAACTCCTGTATTAGGATTCTGTCTTGAATTTGGTCAAAGATTTGCATAAAATTGAAACAAACCTTGCCAGTTCCCTCCTTTCAGGACCACAAAAATTTCCCAAGATTCTTTAGAGCTTAGTTGCAGTATACAGTATATATAGTACCAGATCTTTTTTTCATGTGAAAAAAAATATATATTTGTTGTCAAATTCTTTGTGGGAAAAGCATGAAGCAGTATCAAAAAATGAAGCAAAAGAAAAGGGTAAAAAAAGAAGAAGAATATATATATATATATATATATATATAAGCATTAAATCAATAGGCTACTGCTTGTAGTTGTTGTTACCTATTTATGACTAGGTTGTTTAATGAGGAGGAAAAAAGAAAACTACCTCTTTTCCCCTTGAGTAGGCTCTTTCAAGATCTCTCTGTGCTTTTGATAATTGGTTTTTGTCCCAGTGAAAAAGACTATGCAGCCATAGAAAGATGAAAAATTACTTGGGTTTTTGTAATTGAATGTGAGAGTGAGAGAGTTTTTAAAGAGGAAACCCTAGCTAGTTGCAGGACAGGGAGACCTGCAAACTCGGTGACAAAAGGTAAGGAAGATGAGAGAAAAGGTAAGCAAAGTGCATTTTTCAGTGAGAAACAATGGAAAAAGCAAAAGATAACAAGGAGTAATAAATGGGGCTAGAGAAAAGGATGACTATGACACTGTACTTATAATCATATCAAACCACTGTTTCAAGAAACTGGTGAATCCAACTTGAATACTCACATCCACAAAATCTCCAACAAGAACAAAAGTAGAGAAAAATTTTGAATTAAAGTTTACACCAATGGCTTGCAGGCTAAAATTTGCTTGGCTATGACAAAATATGATCAACTGAGAGTTGGATCAAATTCAGAACCGACATCAATCTAGTGTATGTACCAATACAAATATGACTTCAAACCCATGTGAGATGCAGAAAGACATGGATACTGAAAAGCAGGTTTGTTTCGTTATTACATCAAAGAAGTTTCAGATAAAACATGAAAATACCAAATGATTTTATCAATTAAATAAATAAACCAGGAGAAGAAAAAAAAGGCATTTAGGTAATATGAAAAGGATAAATAGCATATCAGAAGGATTGACAAACAATCTGCACAAGTGTTTTCCTTGATATATAATCATCAAGTTAAGCAAAAAAGTTTAGCAATTTAATTACAATTGTCATATAGCAAAAAGAACAAATGTTTATACTATTATTGTCAACTCATCATCCAATCAACACTTAGCTTAATCCAACCGCGTGCTCTCGGTAGGGTTGGTTTGAGAGATTCTTTTCAATTATTCTTATATATATATATATATATATATATATATGTGTGTGTGTGTGTAGAATATATGGTGCTAGCTGGAGAGTACATGTATTTTAAATATGTTGAATCAATCATTTCAATGTTTGCTTCATTCTTTCTAGTGTCTAACTAAAGTTTTATCTCTGCTACTTTGGCATGGTGAAAAAGTCTTTGAAAATGATAGCATGTCCGATCCAAAATATGTAAATGTGCATGCATGAATGCCTCAATTCCCTTTTGTTCAAACTCCGGCCACCAAGGAGAAGAAAAAAAAATAAAAAAAATTAAGAGGTAATTTGAAATCGTAATTTTAGTTTAATTCAGATCAAATTTTTTTTATTCGATTTAGATTCAGATCCAATTTTATAAATTTATAATAATATATATTATCCAAAAAAATCAAACTAAATATCATTATCACCCGTACTGATTATGTTGTAATCATGTTTAGGGAAAATTCACTAAATCGTGATTCCAATGCAACGAGAATGACTCTCAACGTATCATTGAGTTTAACTATTAGCATGAAGCTCTGAAACCTTTACTGTTAACTTCTATTATTGAAATCCACTGATTATCAGCTTGTACAGTACTAGTACTCCATCCATGTACATCAATTTTTATTCACTGTATATATAGTTTACAGACAAACTATGCTGAAATAATATTTACAAGGACGGATACCAAATAAAACTGTGGGTTGGTTTGGGTTGGGTCTCTTTCATTTTCAGTCTCCTCAGTTCGCTACCCCATCTTGTCCCTATAGCTTTGCAATCCGATAAATCTGCGTGCACTCAAGAATTTTCAGCCTGAAGATTTAACTTTTGTGATTGTGAAGACACAAATGTTAATTAAGGAAGATGAGCAAATAACTAGGAGACGGCTACATGTGTATTATAGATTAATTATATGCATTTTTTTTTATACTTGCCTTAGAATTATATATATGGTACTCAAATTGATGATGACAATTAAATAAATATAACTGCTTCACATTACTTCCTTTTGAATTGAAAGAGGTAGTTGGTGTAAACAATGATAGAAGAATTAATTCATGATAATCTAATTTAGATCTTGTTGGTGATGATTATGATACATTGGACCTACGTTTTTTTAATCCATGCCTACCAATATTCTCCAAAGTCCTTGCATTTTCAATGTCTTCTGATACAAATTAATTGTATATAATATTGATGCAATGATAGCTTAAGGGTCATGAAGAAAAAGAAAGATTGGGAGACTCACAAAAGTTTTATATATAGTATAAAAATTATTGTCTTTAGCTAGGCTTTTCTGTGAAAGGAAGACTATATATGATTCATTGATTCTTGCCTCAGATTATTTAATGCAAATTATTGGTTGGGTCAGATTGTGATGGGTGATGGAGAAAAGTTGGGGTTGGATGGAGATATAAAAGAGGAATAATTTTAAGTTCAAGTGATCTGCCATGACCCTTATGATTAGAGATGTTATTATTGGCTCTTAAAATGCATACACAGTTTTATTTTGATACATAAATAAGAAGGTTTTAGAAATATTGGTAATCAAACAAGAGAATCCATCTTCCGCGGTTTGGATTTTGAAGATAATTTTATTTATATATATATATATATATATATTTTTTTAATATATTAATCGATAGAGTATAAGGTATATGACAAATAAAGTATTTCCTATCCTTATCTTCGATTTTTTATATTATATCTATTCCGATATCCATATTCAATAGATATTTCAAATTCATCCTTATCTCCATTTTTGTATGTATTTAATGAGTATAGATAATTCTCATACCAATAAATTTTTAAACAAAAAAAAATAAATTTTTTATTTTTATCTTGCACATTTAAATAATTTTTTTATAAATATATACTTCTAAATACAAATATCTTAGTTCTAATAAATTTAAAATAAAATTTATATTATTAAATAAAAAATTAATTTATTAAATATATAATATATATATATATAGGGTACGAATATGTAATGAGTGTTGTATTACCCGTTTTCATACCTGATAAAAAAATTTAAAGTCATACCCATTTCATCCCATCCCTAAAATTTAATACACATCTTTATAAAAAATCAGATTTCCCAAATTAACATCCATATATATATTATATATATAAATGATATCATATTACACAAAAAAAAAAAAAAACCTAAATTTTATCTCGTTGGTTTCAAATTTAAATCTTTCAAAATGCATCCATTGAGATGGATTTTGCAAACAATGATAAATATATTTTTAATTCCAGCTACTAGTAAAGAATGAAGGGAATGTTCCATCTCTATGTAACTATGAATTAATCACAAATTTTATATTATTTTGTCCATAATAATAATGAGATTTAATATCATGATTTGATATATGAATGTCAAAAATCTTTTACAAATCTGATCAAAATCGACCAAATCTTATTCACTTAACAAAAGATATAAAGAGACAAGAAATGATTTAATAGTTATTAATAAAAAAATATTAATATTGTACTAATAACCTCTATTTGTCTCATGTAATCACTATTTAACCCACAATTTTAGGCTTTGGTAGTGGCTTGGATATTTTGGATGATTCATTTCTTTAATTAGCACAAAATTTAACGAATTTGGTCTAATCTTAAATGTCATTTTCCAGCTTAATAAAGTTTTAAAAAAATCCTAGTCACGAAACCTAAGATTACTCTTGAAACAAAATAAAAAAATCTTAGTTATATATTTAATTTGTAGAGAGGAATCGGATTAAATCCCATTTTCAAAACAATATGATGATGATGATGATGATGGAGGAATTTTCAATATCATGTCCAAGCAAGTGGGGTGACTTTTGATCCAGGATATATTTCAAGCCAATTTGGATTTTATTTTTATTTTTATTTTTTGCTTTTATCTCATTTTTCTTTGTGAAAAATTACAACAAAATGTACGTGATCTTGATTTATGTGTCATAACGTCTAGGTTAGGAAACCTAGCCATTAGACTCAAAAATTATGGAATTACGACCAATCTTTTTTAGTTATGTGCAACTTACCACCTATATGAATTTATTCTTTTTAAAATTATTATAAGCAAAGGCTAAAGGTCCCTAAAAGAAATATGTGCTGATCTACATCATCAAAACTAATGTTTGAGAGTTAGTTATATGCATGGAAGGTATTAGCACTCCTTTATACCCAAAATTGATACAACATTAATTATGTATTATCTTACCTAACACTTAATCAAAAATGGTTTTTATTATGCAAATAAATCAATTCTAATCTTTTTATTTATTTACAAAACATAGTGATACAAAAATTATATCAAGAATATCAATCAATCATGCAATCATGCAATAAATATTAAATCATACCATGCAAAAATTATCATACAAATATATTATAAATCATACCAAATATCATGGAATAATATTATGCTAGATCATGCTAAAATATTGATGCAAGAATGTCATGCAAATATATTAATTATCATGCAATAATAACAATCATATAAATATAAAAATCAAATATAATCACACAAATATGTTAGTAATATAATCATGCAATTATGCACACAATAATTATAAAAATATGCAATTAGATATCATTCAAAATTAACATAATATCATATCATGCAATAAATATAAAATCATGCAAATAAATATATTAATAATCATACAATCACACAAATAAATAAATTAATAATCATGCAAATAGACATGCAAGTAATTATATAATCATGCAATTAACAATGTAAACATGCCATTAAATATCTAATCATGTAATTAAAAATGTAAAACATTCAATTAAATATATGATCATGCAATTAAATATAAAACATGCAACTAAATATATAATCATGCAATTAACAATATAAATCATGCAATTAAATATATAATCATGCAATAAACAATATAAATCATGCAATTAAATATATAATCATGCAAATAAATATATTATCATGCAATTAACAATATAAAACATGTAAATAAATATATTATCATGCAAATAAACAATATAAAACATATAATTAAATATATTATCATATAATTAACAATATAAAACATGCAAATAAATATATTATTATGCAATTAACACTACAAAACATGCAAATTCTATTTAACTGAATAGTTAATGATAAATTCAATTCCAAAACTTGAATGGCATTGCATTTTATTATCTGGCAAGTTGAAGTGTTTTCAGGGGGAAAAATGTGTTGTTGAGCTCATCATCTTTTTTAGGAAAGGCCACATGTCGGAGATAAACCTATTCAACTAGTCAATCTACTCTTATAAAAGGATTAAATTAATAAAATAAAACCAAGAAAACAAAATAAACAAATGGCATTGGTAAAGCATTAGTAGAACCTATCTTAGAACTCACTCGATCATAATTAGAATGTTTCATCCAAAAAGGAATTTTAGGCAAAATATCAAGCAAAAAGTTGGTATTGAATTAATGAAGTGGCCTACACAGGTTCCAACAATTTTTTTCCTTTCAAAATTGATACTTCCTACTATAAATCTTAGCTTTTCTTCAAAAATTTCAACTGGATCTTTTTGTAAATTTTTTTTGCTTGATTGCTACTTAGTTATTGATTCAAAACTTTACCTAAATTTTCTCTCGTTTCAATGTCCTATGTTTGATCTTAAAATCAATTGCATTAAGGCCCCTCATTTTGATCTTAGATTCAAGGTTTTTATATAGTAATTGAATTCCTTTCGATTTGAAAAAAATTAATTCAATCGAATTTAGGATTTCTCTTCAATTTTT